TAACTCCTGCCGTGCCCGCAGCCCCGCAGCCAGGTGGGTTATGGGACTCTCGGTCATGTGCTCAGTAATTCTTGGTTGCAGCTCCACATTCCAAGTCGGGCTCTTCTGCCCCAGTGTGGAGCTTGTCCTCACCCCCCTCAGAGGCCTGGCAGGGGCCCGATGGTGTCCAAGGAGTGTTTCCTCATGGCCCAAGCACCACTGCCTTTCCTGCCTCAGCAGCAGCAGAAGCGGAGCCCTGGGAGCGTTGCAGTGCGTGGCTCTGGGACCCGCCAGCTGGGCCAGTGCACCCGTTGCCCAGACTCGGGGTTCACTCCCGCCCATTGCTGGGATCTCCCCATCAGTGCTGGCCCTGCGGCTCTCCGTCCTCTGCCTGCACCCCTGCAGCAGCTCTGCAGCCTTCGCCAGGGCTGGTGGTCAGCCAGCGCGATGCCTCCCCGCCTTTAGGCGGCGGGCGGCCTATGGGCACGGTCATCCACGCTGCTCTGCAGGAGCAGCCTGCACCTGCCCTGCCCCACGGGGCCCCAGCTCTCCCTCCGAGGAGGCGTTTGCACAGCTCTGCGTTGTGCGCTAGCTGGTTCCAGGCCTTGAGGGATGAGCAGGGCTGCCTCGCAGGACGGCCAGCTGCAAAGCTGGTGATCCCAGGATCCTCCCACAGGGACCCGGGTGTTTGCCAAGTGTGATTTACCCTAAGCCTGGTTTTGTCCCTGCTTGTGTCTCCCTGTGGTCCGCTATCAAGCCAAATGTGTCTGTGCAGCAAGTGCCCTGCTGACCAGGCCAAGAGGCACTGGCGTGGTGCTGGAAATTGCTCCGTGTCTGTTTGGTGCAGACAGTGTTGTAGCCTCTGTCCAGGAAAAGGCTGGTGGGGCTGAGCTAGGGACCTGCCACGCGCCTTTGGAGTGGTGCACGGCAGTGGCGAGGCAGGGGACCGTCTGCTCGGAGCAGGGGTGTGCTCCTACCTTCTGTCACACGGTAGCTGCCAGTTGCGTGCTTGGGGTCCAGAAGCAAGCTGACAGTTCAGGAAGTGGTGAGCAAAAGGCTGCAAGGATGGCATGTGTTTTGGAAAGGCCTGGCCTGGAGCAAGAAGCACAGGAGCTGCATGGGGCCTCTCTGCAAAAAACTGAAGATCCTCAGTTGTGGTTTCTGGTCATCTGCATGGAGACCCTAATTTTGTGTCACGTTGTTTGTTGCTGCCCACAGGGTAAGCAGGGCCCAGTAGCTTGGGAACTGGGGCCAGAGATTGTTTGCAGTTCAGAACAGAATTTCTTTTTCTGTTGAAGATGAGGGAAAGTGCGGTCAAACAGAACCCTAAAGGGCTTTGACAGATTATCTGGCCCTTGACTTCCTGATCCCAGGCTGGCACCCTACTGCATTAGATGCTTTAGCTGAGCAGGAACTGCTGCTATCGGCCTTAAGGACACTAGGTTTTAGCAGTCCCCGTTCTATTGAGGAGTCAAACAAGAGGGCCCAATGGCCCTTTTTTGGTCTTGGCTCTTGTTAAGAAGCTCATGTGGCTGGGTTCTAAACTGAAACTGTGGCAGCTTGCTTTCTGCAAGACGTACGCTCCGCTGCAACCCCATCCCACGTGACCCTGAGAAACAGCTTCCAGCTCCTGTCCGGATACAGACCCTCAGGCAAAGATGCAGAGTCTGCTGAAGCAGCCCTTGCAGGGCACCTGTGAGCCTTCGGTTTGCGTGGGGCTTCCCTGGGGGAGGATCTTTGCTGTTCGGTGGTAGCACCGAGGGTGCATCCCCTGTACAGGCCCTTAGGGGACCCTGCTGCTGGGACACAGGTCATTGACGGTGTGTGTGTTGCACTTTCAGTTCTGCAGGCGCTAAAATAGAAGCGCTTGCTTCCCTTCTGCGGGCTGTGCACTGATACCGGCACCGCCTTCCTGCCTGTGCAGAAGCAGGACACAGACCCTTGCATTACTGGGTCATCTCACCAGCTCCCTCCCTTGCTGGTACGGCTGGGAGGGTGTGCCTGGGCCCATGCGATGCTTTGGGTGCCAATGTTGCCTGCGCTGCGGCACATCACTGAGGAAGCAGGGCTGTTCTGTGCCTCTGCACTGGGGCACCCCTGTGGGCATGCCGTAACGGTCGGATGAGCAGCAGTGGAGCGGGCACATGGGACCCCCAGGCGCTGCCCCACAGGAGGCTGTGTCTCAGTCCTGGCTTGTGCTGCACTGGGCAGCAGGGCCTGGAGGGCAGGGCTGCCAGGAGCAACTGCTCGCTTCTGTGCTGTCCAATGCACAGCCCAGCTGGGGCCCAGGGTCATGCTGGGAGCTCCAGGGAAGCCCCTCCTGTGCTGCCTGGCTCTGTTCATCCGTGCTCATGTTGGCTCAGGGAGCAGGGGCAGGGGCTGGGGTCTGTCACTGGCTCTGGGCAGGGAAGGGCTTGGTATGGCTGCAGGGTGGCCAAGCTGTGTGGGGCTGGGACAGCAGTGGCTGCAAGGGGACCCAGGGGCT